TCCGTGTGCTTCGGATGTGTGCGCTCAGAAAACCGCATATAAGAAGTTTAAACTCACATGGTTTAAAATGCATGATTTCAGCGAGATAAACATGCTAATCAGAACCAAAACAGATGTTTTTAGCAGGTATGAGCTGTAATGAAGCAGCTCTATTCTGAAAAAGGGGGCGGGGAGCAGTAGCTCATTTGCATTTAAAGAGCCAGGCCCGAAAAACAGCGTGTTTCTGCTTCCACTCAAAATAGGCATTTTCAAAATGATATAATAAATGATCTGTGGGGTATTTTGAGCTGAAACTTCACAGAAGCATTCTGGGGACACCAGAGACTTATATTACATATTGTAAAAAGGGGCATAATATTTCTCCTTTCAAGAAATTTTTACTTTATCCAGCAGGGATGGATTAAATTGATCAAAAGTGACCATAAAGACATTTATAATTACAGAAGACTTTTATTTCAAATAAATAAAATAATCCTGAATGTTTTCAACATAAATTATAATAGAAACATTTTTCTTAAGCACCAAATCCGCATATTAGAGTGATTTCTGAAGGATTATGTGACACACTGAATCCTGGAGTGATGGCTCCTGAAAATTCAGCTTGGCCATTACAGGAATAAATTACATTTTAAAATGTATTAAGATAGAAAACAGTTGTTTTAAATTGTAATAATATTTCACAATATTGATGTTTTTACTGTAATTCTGGTCAAATAAATGTAGACCTGATTAGCATAAGAGATTTCTTTTAAAACATTAATATCTTTGGAATTCCAATTATTTATGAATGTGTCATATGAACAATTAGACATTAATAAGACTGATGTAAGTCTCAAAAACTAAGGATCACATCTCAGGTTCTTGGTTAATTTCAAATCAGACATAAAATACTTGCAGTACAGTGAGTTTAAGACTGATTCACTGAGTCATCATGGGTTACTTTGTGTGTGTTTTTGCATGCAGTGAGCAAAGCAGACAACAAAAATGCCATTTAGCAGTGAAAGAAACACTCATGCGGTTTAAATGCGTAATTAACAAACGTCTCAATGTGGTGAATCTGATAAACCACATACTTATGCAAATAAACCAGTGGTGATTGGATTTTAAATTGGACCAAATTCTACTTATAAAGTCTACCAAGTGTAGTATGTGGTCATTTTATTCTCAGTCTGGAGCCCTGTTAAACTGCCAGCAGCTGTGAACTCTTAAAGGGGTCATATGATGCTTTTTTAAAGATCATTATTTGGTGTATTTGGTGTAACAGAATATGTTGACATGCTTTAATGTTCAAAAAACACATTATTTTTCAAATACTGTACATTATTGTAGGTCCTCTATGCCCCGCCTCTCTCAAACGCTTCGTTTTCTACAAAGCCCCCTCCTTTGACAAGCGCAGTCTGCTCTGATTGGCCAGCTGACCCAAGCGAATATCTCTTTGGTTTTGAGATTTTAGTCTTTGCAACTTCAGGGATCTTATCTATGCACAATCAGCTTGTAACACTCCAAAGAGAACGGAAAACTTGAAATCGCATCATATGACCCCTTTAAACTGCAGTAAATGGTACAACAGTGTTCTAACAGTAACAGTGCCTTTATATGTTGGTGATCCTGCTAAACTATTCAAGAAACAATCAATTTCCTTGTAAATATACCATATAATGTGCTTTGTTTAAAGCAAGCTTTCAGTCTGAACATGTTGAATGCATCTGAAGATTTATTCCTTTATTCGTATGCATGGCCTTTTGAGATCATTAACCCTCCAAAATTCCCATTTTTGGCAGCACAGCAGGCCCAGAGTGACGTCCTTTTATACTTCCCTTGTAGGATCTTAACCAGTACCTGAAGGACAAAGTTTACTTGACTGGGAACGTCTTCACACTGGCAGACATCCTCATGTATTACGGAATTCACCACATTGTTGTAAGTCCCTCAGCGGTGAACTTCAGTCGTTTGAGAGAAGTGATACAGAGCTCCCAATTAAAGCAGTAAGACGCTTAAAGCACAGGAGAAATTTAACACAGCAGAAAAGATGAGACATATAGTGATGTCATTTCCCAGGACAGCAGCCAAGGAAGTTTAAGGAGCCTGAAGGAGCCCATTGAGAAAGGAAGAAAGGGATTAAATGAGAATTAGAGGGAAATGGAATAGAAGATCACATCTCTCCATGTCAGTGTTTGTAATTGACTGACTAAATGACTGACAGAGAGTTGTCATTTCCCAGAAGGCATTAGTATGTCACTTTGTTTAAATCTCTTGAAGATAAGGTCAGTTAGACATTTTCTTAAAAAAAAAAAAAAGATTCACCCCTTGGTAATTTCATTTTTTTTATATTGTACAACATTGGACTGCAGAGGAACTTGTTTGACTTTTAAAACTGATAAGCAGATTTTTATTTTTTTTTTCATGTAAAAGTAGATACAAATGTCTGGAAAATTTACTACCGTTATTAAACCCACAATAATGTATCTGTATTCACCATTCTTCAAGAGTTAGTAGATTTCCCCTTTTTTGCTGTATGATGCACAGTGTTTGGCTTTTGACAAACATGGCGTTTAGTCTGATGGCCAGAAAGTTTATTTATACTATAGTCAATTGAAAGCCATTGACTACTTTTGCTTATTTATGTGAGTTGTATAACCAGTTGCATCACTGTGACAAATAAGAATTTCCAAGATAAGGGCCTTTCACACCGAGCGCAATTAAGCGATGCAAATGTACGACGTAATGATTTTCTTGACTCAAAACAGTAGATCCCTGTGGACCTATTTACACCATGCATGATCAATCGAGGCGTGACAAAGTGAGATTTTTTTTTTATCGACTAGTGTGCCAATATTTTTATTTTTCGTCACCCCATGATGAAACAAGCCATCCAATTAGATTTTATGCTGCCTTCACGTGCTATCGGAAACTTCCTACTTGTGAAGTTGTAATCACGAGTTAGTGTTCAAGAACAGAAAAGAACAGAAATCATGGTGGACGGCTCATTCGTGAGTTCACTCTTGCCAGTTTCTTGGGGAAATCTCATTAAAGCCAAAAGGTACAGAAGATATTTAGTCAATATCCAACAGGTTTTGAATGAGAGCGTAGCATCCCATTCATTGGTAAACATTCACTGGCATATAAATATTCAGCTGGCTGACGATTCCTAATTTCGGTCAAATAAATGCTATTTTCGCTGTGTTCAGTAATGCAATATGCATAAAATGGTTATTTATATATGCAAATATACTATATGTAACTTCAGGAGAAAGCAATGTAGATGTTGTGGGAAAAACTAAAAATGCATTCTCAGTAAACGCCTCCTATTGTGCAGGCATGAATTAGCTGAAGGTGATTCATCATTTCGCATTTGGTGAAAGCACCAATTCGCTTCACTTTTTTGCATTGCTCTCAGTGTGACAGGCTCATAGAAGTCTAATTTTAAGATTTTCTTAAACACTTTAAGACACTTTTTTTACCTTTTACAGTTGACCCAAAGTGTGCCATATTAAAGAGTGATTTTTTTTTTTTGCATTGTATACTTCTATAAAATGCTGTATATATAATTTAGTAATATGTCAATATCATCTTAATTTAAATAAACACTGTAAAAAATAAATAATGCCTAAGCAGGCAAAGACACTGTACTGGATGTCTTTGTAGTGTTATGCACATTTCTTTTTTACCTTTATTGTTCACTGTCTCATGTTTCCTTTACTTTTTCTTAGGTGGAATTGGCTGTACAGGAGAAAGAGCGATATCTGAATGTCACCAGGTGGTTCGATCATATCCAGCACTATCCAGGTGTACGACACCATTTGCCTCCTGTGGTGGTTTTGAGGAACAGAGTTTACCCAAGTGGTCACCACTGAAAACCTCGGTAACATCTTGTGGGTTGTCAAATAATCCAGACCTTAAGGTCACAATACCAATGCTCAACTGACACAGAGCTGTCCCATTGTGTTACACCACAACCCTGACATTAACCCAAACAGTCAGGACAAGTAAAGCAGGTCTTTTCCTTTTTTGTGTGTGTGTGTGAGAGAGCTAGTTTATGTCCATTAGTAGTGTTATTTAATATGTGTTTAGAATGAGTGTAGTTTGTGGAAGGTTTATTCAAATTATGTGGATTGGAGTACCTCAGCATGAACAATAAGAATAGTGGCTGTGGTTAAAATAAAACTTTTACTAATGGAAAAGCAGTTGATTTGAATTTTAACCTGTATATGAAACAAGAGTAAATCTATTAATAGCTTTTTCAGATAAGTTACTCATTACTTAAGATAATATGGATATCCCTTACATCAAGCCACACATATCTTTCCTCATTTGGCATTTTCTTCTGCCATTCGCCTATTCTCCTAGTCTTGGCACTGGTGTGGGCAGTAGTCTGGGGTTTGACAGGATGTCATGTTCTTGCTCTGGGGCAGTGGGCAGACTACCAGCTGTAGCCGCACAGACAGCACTGGTGTGTTCTGGTTTTCTTGTGCTTTTCACTCCACCCACAACCAGTGTGTCATTTTCTCCCCAAAATCCCCTTCTGTCATAGCTGTGAATTTCTTTAGACACTTAAAGTGTTCAACTGCTTAATCCGCTTCTGTGTTATATAAATCACTGGCTGTGTCAAAGGTTTTCAATATTCAAAATGTTTTTGAATGAGGCGTTGTTGTAGAAGATCTGCGCTTGTGAATTTTCACGGCACAAAATTAAAGCATTTTTATAAAAGGTTCAAGACAAAAATACCTTTCCAGTTCCAGGAGACTTGTTCCTGAGAACATAGTAGCTTCATTGATCATAAAAGGTTGATTCAAAACATCTTTCGGGAAACCGAGCGCTTCATGCAACGTATAACATGTGGCCAATCTGGTTTGGAGCTGCTCTGTCCGTAGCCTTTATTATGGAAAGTCCTCTTCTTATGAAAGGGAGATGTGTTTTTGCACGTTTACTTATCTGCTGTGCATATGCTGACAGAAAGATCCCTCTGTTCTTTTTATTATACTTCCTTTCCTGTAAGCCGCTTTTATGAAATGTGTGCTGTTCTCAAGCTCAAGTTTGTGTTCTTTAATGTCAACAGAATGTTGTCCTGTGCCAATAAATGAAAAAGGGAAAACAGAACTATCAGTGTCCTTTTTTACGAGTCCTCCTTATGGATATATGACACACCCCATTTTTTGCAGAATTCGAAGAATTTCCATCTGACATTCAGTGTGTTCATAGAGGAACCACAGCGGAACAAAGCAATGTGTGTTTGTGGAATAGCAAACTGAAGAAGCGACAAATCTTGCAGTCATCAGAACAGGCCTTGTGACCAGATAATGGAGGTATCCACAGTGGAGTCTCTGTCTGCATGTTTATTTCTGTCTCCAGATTTAATTGGGTGGCTAATCTAAAAGAGGCTTCCCTCATCAAAATTAAATTTATCGCCTCTTTCACGTCCACAAAAGATGACCAAACCACATCATGTAGCAGCTGCTCCTGAATGGCGGTCTTTTAAGGAGATTTTAACTGAAGTTTTCCACATTTTCAAACATCAGCTCAGGTGTCATGGGGTCACTGTTGCTTTAAAAAAGTGACGTGACATGTGGCCAAGTATGGTGACCCATACTTGGAATTAGTGCTCTGCATTTAACCCATCCAAAGTGCACACACACAGCAGTGAACACACACACACCGTGAACACACACCCGGAATTGAGGAAGATGAAAGATGTTTTAAGTAGCGAAAGATCCACAGCAGGAGGTGTAGGACACTCCAATTATTTTGGGCCTTTGTCCTTATGCAGAGTTAAGAGGCAATTCAGTCTTCATGGGTGGACTTATTTGATTTCAGTTGCACTTCTGCTCGTTCATTGAATTCTGGCGATTAATTTGCCTTGCAGTTCTCAATAAGTCAAAGTTCAAGAGGTTTGGGGCATTAGCTCTCACATGCCGGTTCATCTCACATGCAGCATGCCACAAGGTCAACAAACCACCTATTGCTTTCCCAAATGGCTGCAGGGACTTCAAGAAGAGCAGGGCGTAGCAAACTTAGGTGCTCTAGGATGTTATGCTTTTCTTTTGATGCCGCAGGATCTTGATGAAAAAGACTTAAGTAGCACAGCATGACAACTGTGCGGTACTTCTGGAAAGTTGAGTTCTGTAACAGAAGAACAGGGATTCCTGGTTCTAGAACGAAACAGGCTTGCATCATTGACACTGCTACAGACCACAATGGATAGACGGATACACATTGACTTTGCCAGGCTGCGTTCGCATTTTGTTTGCATCATGTCCCCTGAAGTTTTCACCAACTGTTCATTATGTCTTGTTAACAAGATAAAGAGCTGCATGCCAAGCGAGATGTGAAACTGGGAAAACAGAAGACCCTGATTGATTCAATGAAACTATCAGTGCTGCGTGGGGCGCATTAACACAGGGTAAGTAGTTGTGACAGCTCCCGTGTTATCTGCAGCCAAAAGGAAGTGACAGTTCTACCATACGCCCATAAAGCAGGCATCTGATTGTCTACTGCAATTAAATGACGGAAGCAAAACAGGAAGAGCAAAAAAGTTATGCAGTGGTAACGCATCCACACACAATTAATAGCTTTACTTTAGAACGGCGAGAAGCAAATTTAGGTGGAAATGCTCCACTTGAGGCAGTGTAAGTGTCAAAAGCATTTGTGAGTCTGCGAATTAATGTCTCAGAGGCAAAAGCATTTTATAGATACAGATATGCATATTATCGTGGAATGAGGTATTCTGAGCTAAACACTAACATCAAAGGCCTGTCACTCTTAGTGATGGAAATGCGCAATGATTAAGAAAAGAGAGGAGCGTCTTTTATCTCGAGCATTGTCTTTGTATTACCCTCTTATCTATGTATAAGAAGGGTCTTGCAATAAGACGGAAGGACCGCAGGTGGGGGTCTGTGCGCAGAGTCTTTGAGATGCTCCTTGCTCACTTCATCAATCACAGAAGGCGTCTGATTTAAAAGGTGCTAAAGTACATGTGTGTGACCCCAGGCACCGTGATGGCACCTTAACACTGACACGGATGACAGAATTTTCCGGAAATAGACTCTCTGCTGAACGAAACCGTCCCAGCTGCACGAAACGTAGTCCTGAGAGAGATGTGTGGGCCTTGTGCACCATGTGTGCTTTGAGACTTTCATTTAAGGGGTTATGGATTTGGCTTAAGGGTACCAGAGGTTTAGGAGGGGTGGGGTGGGGTGGGTGGCGGTTAAAGACATGAAAGTGACCTCCTGGATCTCGAGAGATTATAAGCCATGCATAGAAGGTGCGTAGGAATCTATTGTAACTGTTCTTTAGTAAGTGAGTCTATGGCAGCCCCTAGAACTGTAAAGTAACACGTTCTGAGATCTGACACATGCATTGAGGAACAACTACCATGCCAAATTTGGGATCTATTTATGTACTTTAAGTACCTCTAAGGCACTAAGGTCCTCATCTGGTATACTGTAGCATGCTCATGAGCGCAGAGGAGAAGTGGCCCATCCCTAATAATTTTTGTCCTGGGCCCCGTGAATTTTAGTGACAGCCCAGGAAACACATGAACAAATTTGAAGGCAAGAATGGCAAACAAGGCTATATGTATATATTTTGACCAAGCCCTGGGATTTTCTGTGCAATTTAGGAACAACATCACGTGGGGTTGTACACGTCACTTCCGTGCTTTGGCTCCATAATTGCTGTTTACAGCTATATTTGTTGTGTAGTCTGTATTGTTTTTATTACCAAAATATTTCCTCTATCATAGGAGTCTACCTTGTTTGGAGGAATGTTGTAAAATTTGTTAGACCGATTGGGAGGGGTCTGAATATTCCCTTGAGCAGTATGGGGGTCTTAATCTCTAGCACCACTATCAGCTCAGAATTTGTCTTTTCTGCTTATAACTGTGCTTGGGTCCTTTTGCATGAAGCCCCACACATGATGTGTTCATTCATTCATTCATTGTTTCCTTGTTTTAGGTAAACTGTGGCTACGATTGAACTTAATTAAAATGAGAGAACAAATTAAGATGTGGCCACAAATTAATAAGTCATGTGAATGAATCCTTAATTAGTGACCATGATATCTATTTTATCTTCTGCATGTCTTGCGCAGAGCTCTGTACTTTTGGAATAATTTGGTTGTGAAAAATAATATTAATCAAATCTTGAACTAATGCATTTTAACATGTGGGGTTTGCACAAGTGGCAGCTTGTTGCCCCCATTTACATAATTTCTAACTGAACAAATCAAATCAAAGAGGATGACCTGATAGGGCTCAATTTACAGTCAGAAAAAAAAAATACTGTTGAAATTGTACCTCTTCTCCGATATCTTCACAAACAAGAGGCTATATTATCTCCTCTATACACCATCTCCTCTGGTTGCCCCCTTTGTCCCACAGGTCTTGCCAGGGAACTTTAGTAAGACCTCCTGTGTTAATGTCTTCTGATAGGATGTCTCCGGGGTGCTGTGAGAAGTGATACTAAAAGTAATTCCAACTGAAATGGCACGACAAAGAGAATACTTTATATGAGCTCCAGAGGCATAAGGCTGATAGACTGGAGTCCAGCCTGCAGATGTTTATCCGGGTTCATGTGTCAGGGGCAGTGCAGTGCCCTCAGCTACCCTCCTAATGGCCACTGGTCAGAAAACACTCAAATAACATCTCATTAGCATATCTTCCATTCGAATCTACATATTTGTCACACCGGTTGTGAATTTTTAATTTGTGCTTCATTATAATGCAGGTTTTAATTCATCATGACTAATTTATTTAAACCTGGAGTGAAATTAAGAGTTTAACTCAGTCACATTTGTTTTATTCTCATCATATTTCCATAATGAACACAGAAATGCAGAAATCATGTAGATTTGACAAAACAAATAAGCATGAGTTAAAGGGGTCATATGATGCTTTTTTAAAGATCATTATTTTGTGTATTTGGTGTAACAGAATATGTTGACATGCTTTAATGTTCAAAAAACACATTATTTTTCAAATACTGTACATTATTGTAGGTCCTCTATGCCCCACCTCTCTCAAACGCTTCGTTTTCTACAAAGCCCCCTCCTTTGACAAGCGCAGTCCGCTCTGATTGGCCAGCTGACCCAGTGCACTGTGATTGGCCGAACACCGCAAGCACGCGTCGGAAATGTAACGCCCCTTACCATAATCGCGAGCTTCATCTTTCAAATTAAATGTAAAGACAGTAAATAATGTCATTAGTTTTACCATCAGTTCAAGCCCGAAAGGACAACAGAGTCGCGTGACAGACACAGTGAGGAAGCTGGTATGTGTTTGCAGTACACAAGCCACGGTTAAGACAGCTGACTCCACTGTGATGCGACCCTGTCTCTCTCTCTCTCTCTCACACACACACACACACACACACACACACAAAAC